CTGTGGGGCCCTTAAGTAAGAGGAGCCATTGCCTTTCTTTCTTTAAAAATATAACTTAAAGAAAATTTAACATAACCAAACATTCAAATTACATTTTACAATTTTAATTAACACCCCGCCCCCATGCGACTTCCCCCAACTTCCCTTCCTGGTTTAGAACACCTCTGTTTCTTTTGCTTATAATTTTGTATTCCTTATATATTAAAATGAAGGTTATAACTGTTGGCTTTTTGCAGTATGGTAGCGCTGCAGAGAGCTTGCTGGGGAGACCATGCATTAAAAAGGGACTCAAAAATAATTTAAACAAGGTTTTAATAAGAAAAACAAAAACTCCTTTTACACTAAATACATTAACAAACAAACATGACCCAACCACCAACCCATCCCCCAGGGTGATGGGAGAGCTAGGTGCTGCTCCTTATATACTACACCCAATTGCCAACACAGCTTAATCAGTACAACTCGGCAGCACCTGCTATGTTTCACAGCTGTAAAGCTGGGTCTCGTTATCTTACTCTGGCCCTTGCTTTGGCCCCTTAAAGACATACACATCGGGTGGAACAGTGATGAACCTTTACATTTAAAGAAACCATTCAACATTTCCCCTGCGGTTCATCATTGTGGAACAAAACATAAAGCATACTTTGTACATGTTTTTCATGTGTACCTTTTGGAAGTGCTTTAGTAAAAATGTCTGCAATTTGATTGTCACCTGGAACATATTTAAATACAACCATTTCATCAGCAATTAGTTTCTTTACAAACTGTAAACGTAATCTTAAGACTTTAGTGCGCTGCGTATTGGTTTCTGAACATAGGATAGCGAGTCCACTCTGGGAATCAAGGTAAACTTTTACTGGTAGTGTTACTTGCATCTGTAGGTCTGCGAATACTTGCAGATACCATTCTACATCACGAGTGGCCTGAACGCATGCACATAATTCACTCTCTGTTGTGGAGAGACAAATAATGTTTTGTGTCTGGGACTTCCATTCAAATGGACAACCGTTATAACAAAACACCATACCAGACACACCCCTGCAATTATTTTGTTCCACTGCATGAGATGCATCACAGAAAATTTCAAAACCTTTGTCAATACATGTTGTAAACTGCAACCTATAATGTTTGGTATGTTTAAGGTACATTACCACTCTCTTAAGAGCAGAGAAACATTGTGTAGTGGGCTTTTCCACAAATTTTGCCAGAAAGTGAAAGGCATAAGTTATATCTGGTCTTGAGATTCTTTGAATGAAATTTAGCTTGCCTATAGCAGAACGATACAAAGTTTTGTTAGGAAATGGCTTATCTTCACCTGTAAAAGTGAAACCACACACCATGGGCGTTTCCTTCCCATTTGCATTTTCTAAACATAGCATTTCCACAAGATCATCAATTTTTGCAGTTTGATGAACCAGAAAAGATCCATTTTTGCCTTTCTCAATTTGCATGGATAAGTAATTTTTAGCTATGCCTAATTCCACCACATCAAATTTCTTCTGTAACTGTTACTACCTGTTCATATTCCTGTTTAGTTTTTGTAGAAATTAACACGTCATCTACATACACACATATTTTTGCTACAGAGTTTGCCCTTTCCTTTATAAACACACAATTGTCTGTCTTTCCCTGTGAAAAACTAATATCCAGCAATTCTTTTGCTAAAGTTTGGTGCCAGTTCCTTCCACTTTGGTGCAGACCATAAAGGGATTTATTTAATTTGCATACCAAACCTTCAGCGGCGTCTATGCCTTCAGGGACACGCATAAAAATTTGTTCTTTTAAATCTGCAAACAAATATGCAGTTTTTATATCTAGGTGATAAACAGAATGTCCACGTTGTGATGCATCTTTTAACAAAAGCTTAACTGTTTCATATTTTACACTTGGTGAATAACACAAATCATAATCTTCGCCTGGAATTTGTTGAAAACCCCTAGCGACTAATCTAGCCTTGTACCTTACAACTTCATTTTTGTCATTCATTTTAACTCTATAAACCCATTTTGAATCAATAAGTCTCATATCTGGGGTTTGTGGTACAAGAGACCAAGTGTTATGCTCTTTTAAAGAAGCTATTTCAGAGTTCATAGCTTTATACCAATTTACAGCTTGGTGCTTAGGTAAATTCTGAACATCATTGTAGCTTTTTGGCTCAAAAACTGCCTTATTGGCATACACAGTATTAAAATGTTCATCTGCAAAACGTTGTGGCTTCTGTCTCTTTCTATCTGAACGTCTTAGTCCGGAAGGAGAGTCAGACTCCTCAGACTTAATGGGACTATGTAAACTACTAGTTTCAGGTTGTAAATCATCATTGTCAGACTGAAGAGATGCCTGTTGGCTAAGCTCACGGTCAGAAAACTCAAGAGAATCTAACCTCCCTCGGGTGCCTGTGACTTTAAATCATCAAACAAATTATCAGATTCAACAGGCTTTTCGTCTTTTCCCATTAATTCAGAAGCACCATTTCCTGCTGCTGCTGCTGCTTCTTCTACCTCTTCTTCCTCAGTATTATCTATACCGTTAGTATCTTGGAAAATAGCAACGCCATTCCAATTTACAGTTTGTATCATGCTTCTGGTAATATGAAATTTGCCAGTTGCTGGTATGTAAATTCTGTACGCCCCCCTGCTGGTAGCCCATTAATTTTCCCTGGACACTACGTTCACCCAATTTCTGTTTAGCGGGATAATGCATTATTACATCTGAACCCCAAATGCGTAGGTATTTCAGATTAGGGCGTTTTTTAAACAGCTTCTCATAGGGGGTGACATCTAAACCAGAATGATAACTGCAATTCCTAACATAACAAAAGGCATTGAGCGCTTCAGCCCAAAAGTCTTTGGGCAGATTAGCATCGTGCAGATAAGTTTTAACCCCTGCCTGCAGGTCACGCTGCACAACTTCAACAAGCCCATTTTGCCAGGGACTTCGGGGGCAAGATAACTCATGGGTAGTCCCCTGCGCTTCCAGGAATTTCTCAAAATCCTCAGAAACAAATTCCCCGCCCGGTCAGAAAAAGGTTCTTAATAGGTTTGTTAAAATGTGTTTTTACCCAGTTGCAAAAACTTTGTACTTCTCAAATGCTTGGGACTTCTCAGCTATTGCATAAGTCCAACAATATCTACTATACTGGTCTATCAGGGTAAGCCAGTACTTAGAACCTCCTAAGGATGGTGGGAGTGGCCCAACTAAATCACAATGTACACGCTCAAATGGCTCAGTTACTTTCCTATCTGAGCACCTACCCTTGCGTGCAACCTTAATCTTATTCTTGCAACAGGATAGACATTGCATAAAGAATTTACATGGTTTTAAGTTGAGGCCATTAACAATATTCTTGGTCTTAATTACATCAGCAAAATTCAGATGTCCCAGAATTCTGTGCGCCTCATGGACACACCCAGAATGTGGCCTTACATTCCTCAACCCCTGGCTTGACTGTGCTGCTCTGCAATTTATAGGCGATTGGGAGTAGGTGCGAAAATACAGTCTATATAAACCATCAGATTCCGGGCATACAATAGACGTTTGTTCCCTCGAAAAACTCACACATTGACTTTAAGAAACGCACAGTTATGCCTTGACGAGCAAAACACCTTACTGACAATAAATTGTCCACTGATGGGCAGTAAATGCAGTTCGCTATAGTAATGTTTAAAGAGTCAAGTTTAACAGTACCCCTGCCAAGCGACTGCAAGACTTGTGAATTGGCTAAATGTACATTACCAATTTCCTCTTCGAAAGAAATAAACAAGCTTCGATCGTTGCAAACGTGCTGAGATGCTCCTGAGTCCACAATAAAAGAATTCCACTTGGCACCTTTAATTCTTTTACGATCTCTTGTGCTAGCGTGAAAAGCTCGTGGCTCGTTTCTGTCTTTACGGTACGATGCCGGCTGCTGAGCTGACGACCGTGACTGACGAACAGAAACAGACTTGGGAGTACTTTGCTTTCTTTTGGATCTGCAGTCCTTTGCAAAATGTCCTTGCTTATTGCAGAACCAACAACGCTTTGCAGCTTTAAATGCAGTTGTATCACCACAAGTTTGCATATGGCGTTCCTCATTCTTTCTGGAAATAGGAGTGCTTATGGCACAAGCCTCCCTTCTGTCCAACTCGCCCATTAATCTTGCCGTTACCCCTTCCACAGTTAATTGTGCTGGTGGAACGGCAGATATCTGGCTAGCTACACCATCAAAGTCCTCATTAAGGGAACAAAGGATGATAAAAACATACTGAATATCAGGTATCTCCATGTCCCTTCGAATTAATTCGCTGCGTATCGCCTCCAGACGTCTCAAGTGTGCTGCCAAATCACCACCAGGCCTCAACTTCGTCTGGTACAGCTGCTTGAAAAACGTCAATGCAGACGCTGACTCTTTTCTAACATGCACTGCTGCAAGACTGTCCCACATTTCTTTGGCAGTTTTCTTATTTCTTATATAAACTACTTGCTGGTCGCTGACTGCCAAATTAATTATCGCCCTGGCTTTTGCATCTCCTTTCGACCAAGCATTAGTCACAGGGTCAGGAGGGTCATCAATTACATAGGTCCATACTTCTCTAGAGGTCAAAAGCGCCTCCACCCGAAAAGACCATAAACTATAGTTCTCATCTGTCAGCTGTGGGAAGACCAGAGCCTTCTCAGCTTCTGGAACCCAGTCAACCATTCTGGAACTCTTCCAGACCCACAGAACTACACTAACAGGAGAAGGAGTTTTCAAACCTTTCTCAGAGTCCAAAAATATGCAGTCATCCACTCAGCAGCTGGGCCCATAACCAAAGATGTTGGCTTTTTGTAGTATGGTAGCGCTGCAGAGAGCTTGCTGGGGAGACCATGCATTAAAAAGGGACTCAAAAATAATTTAAACAAGGTTTTAATAAGAAAAACAAAAACTCCTTTTACACTAAATACATTAACAAACAAACATGACCCAACCACCAACCCATCCCCCCAGGGTGATGGAAGAGCTAGGTGCTGCTCCTTATATACTACACCCAATTGCCAACACAGCTTAATCAGTACAACTCGGCAGCACCTGCTATGTTTCACAGCTGTAAAGCTGGGTCTCGTTATCTTACTCTGGCCCTTGCTTTGGCCCCTTAAAGACATACACATCGGGTGGAACAGTGATGAACCTTTACATTTAAAGAAACCATTCAACAATAACATTTGTCTCTTCCTTCTCATTTTTACCTCATAATTGAATTTTCTGTTTGTATTTGTCCACTGTAATTGTATTACTCAAATCCTGCCAGTGAGTTCATTTCTATGCATTGTTTCTCTATATACATCTTAAAAGGTTCCCAATCTTTTAAAAAGTCAGTATTGTCCTTATCTTTAAGTCTCTCAGCTTCGCCATTTCAGCGTATTCCACCAACTTTTCTTGCCAGTGTTCTTTTGCTGGTATTTCCTCGCCTTTCCATCTTTGAGCTAGTAAAAACGCTTCTGGTCTTTTAACAAAGGTTATCTTAAACATTTTTTTCATTTCATTATAGATCATCTTCCAATAGGTGGAGCCAGGTGGGGGGTTGTCATGGTGACAAGGATGGGGGGGGAGCCACAGACTTGCAGGCGACCATTTTGGGTTAGTAGTGAGGCGAGTGGAGGAGAGAGCAGTTGGTGGCAGTTGACGGAGGACAAGGCGAGGCAGTCAGTGGATTCTTATTGTCTCAGTTTCTTATTTCGCTTCTTATTTCATTTATTACTTGTTTTTCTCTTCTTGAAGATGTGCCACAGGCTTTCTTCATCCAGCAATGGTGAGTATTGGAGGAAACAAGAGTAGGGAGAGGATCCCTCAGACCTGCTCCCCGCTGCCAGGACTCTCACTTGTGAGGAACTGGCAGCCTGACTTTTGCTGGAGCCGGAGCAAGATCTCTTGCTCCAGGTGATGCAGAGCTGCCAGGCAGCTGCCCTGAGAGGCCTCCACGCCCTTCAGGTGTCCAAGCACTGGACAGCAGAGGCCGTTCTGGGGAGGGACCCCCATGGGGAGGTGGGGGAGGGAGGGGCTTTGGGGAAGGGGTTGTCCGTCTGCCGGAGAGAAGGACCCTCCTGGCTTACGTTCACGTATCCTGTTTGAACAGGGAATCATCTGAGGGACTTCCTGTGAAAATCTGCGTCAGGAATGCGGTTCCTACAATGGAGGCATGTGCAACATGGCTATACTATGGAACTGTAGTAGGCTCCAATTTGGACTTTATGAACATATGTGGAACAGAAACTAGCAGACACTTGGTCTTTATGAATGAACTGATTTATTGGGACTTCCGTCTATATTATTGCACTTTATGTGTTGTTTATGTGCAAGATAAACATTTGATGTTGTGATAAGAATATATAGAAGAGTATTGTTTATGTGAATGAACAGCCGGTTACGTCTTGTGTTTGTTGAATGTATTTCATGTAATAACAAGATGCTGTTTTGCAAATTCCTAGAATGGAGGCATGTGCAACAGGTCAATCGCGATCTACTGGTCGATCCACAACTCTGGTCAATGCTCCCTGAGAAAAGCTCAACAACTCTGGCCAAAGACAATGGGTAGATGACTGGCAGGTTTTTTATTACTGGGAGTAGATCTCAGCATCTTGGAAGTTGGACGTCCCTGCTATAATGCATAGGTAAAGGTAAAGGGACCCCTGACCATTAGGTCCAGTCCTGGACGACTCTGGGGTTGCGGCACTCATCTCGCTTTATTGGCCGAGGGAGCCGGCGTACAGCTCCCTGGTCATGTTGCCAGCATGACTAAGCTGCTTCTGGCGAACCAGAGCAGCGCACGGAAATGGAAGGCGAAGGGGTAGATTTAAGAGACCAAATTCCCAAGGGCATAAAACCTTTTCAGTCAGTTTAAAATCCACTTTCCCAGTTTGATGTCCTAAGACATATATCTCATTCAGCCCACATTTTACCAGCTTCCTCACATAAATCTCACAGAGGACTCTGTCAAAAGCCTTACTGAAATCGAGGTGCACTATTTCCACAGCAGTTCCCTGATCAACAAAGTTTGTAACTCCATCCGAAAAAAGAAAAGAAGAAAAGGAGAGATTTCTCTGGCTTGACTTGTTTGTGAGAAAGCCATGCTTTCATCCTGCATGTTGTAAAATCTTCAGATGAAGGGCAAATAAATTTAAAAAAGAATAAATGAGGATATTGACATGTGCAAAGGAAGGCGATTTATGTATTCATTTAATTTGGAAACCACCCGACCCAGTGGTGCCAACTTGAATAAAATATTGGTGGAGGGTCAGGTAAGTCCCGCCTTGCACTATCAATCACATGATGCATGCACACCATTTGAATGGCAATGCCTATAATGGCAGCAACTTTTTAAAAAAGTAATATTTTGAGCCCGTAGTTCAATTTCCCAGCAGCTCCCCTTGCCCCGCAGAACACTTCTAGCATTCCATCTCCTCTACCTGTGGCATTGTTCAGCAGTGGGGAAAGTGACCTCTTCACAACGGATTTCCATTTGGTATGGCCCTTTCCAGATTTTTCCCTGCCCCTTGTGTTTGTCTTTCATTTGTTCTCCTGTGTGTGTTGCCAGTAGAAGCCACAATTCTGTGGGTACTCTAGGTGGTGCAGAAAGCACCTAGAACCTCCCTAGAGGTTGAAGTGCCGATCAAACTTCAGTTTTGTGCTCTATAAATTCCAATTAGCAGTACTGGGGGTGGTTCAGATTCTGGGGCAGTGCTTTTGGCCAGCAGAGGGTGTCACAAGGCCAGCCTACTTTCCCTTTAAAGCAAACTTGGGTGTCCAGCTGGTTTTGGACTACAACTCCCATCATCCCTCGCTAGAACCAATGGGGAGGGATGATGGAAACTGTAGTCCGGGAGCTGCTGGGGACCCAAGTTTGGGAAAGCCTGTTTCAAAGCAACTTTTCCATTTTGCCCACAAAGATGGGACCTGTCCACGTTTGTATCTTCTTGTATTTTGTTCTTCTCATGACCTTTCTGTGTTTATTTTTTTTATTTTTTTAAGAGGGCAAATTGAAAGAGAAATTGTATGGCAAGTTGCAGAAGAATAAAAGGTTGTGTTTGAAAAAAACACACCAAAAACTGGGGGGTGGCATCCTTAAATATTTTATTGGGGGTGGGGCAAAGACCCCTAGGCCTTTAAGAGTTGGCACCTATTCCCTACACCCAGAGGTCTCAGGATGGTTACAACATAAAAAAACAAGAAACAAAAAAAACACGACATATTAAAAGGGCATTAGATGTCAATCAGCCAAAAGCCTGGTTAAAAAGGTGCACCTGCCTGGTTCCTAAAGCTGTATAATGGTTTTTCCGGCCATTGTATGGATTCTTTGATGGGAAGTAAGATTGGCACTCTGACTGAAGCTCTTTTCACATTCCAAACACTGATACGGTTTCTCCCCTGTATGGATTCTTTGATGGGAAGTGAGATTGGAGCTCTTCCTGAAGCTCTTTCCACATTCAACGCACTGATAGGGTTTCTCCCCTGTATGAATTGTGTGATGGGAAGTGAGAGAGGAGCTACATGTGAAGGTCTTTCCACATTCCACACACTGATAGGGTTTCTCCCCTGTATGAATTCTGTGATGGGAAGTGAGAGAGGAGCCATCAGTGAAGCTCTTTCCACATTCCATGCACTGATAGGGTTTTCCCCCTGTATGAATTCTTTGATGGGAAGTAAGGGAGGAGCTCATCCTGAAGTTCTTTCCACATTCCACACACTGATAGGGTTTCTCCCCTGTATGAATTTTTTGATGGGAAGTGAGATTGGAGCTCTGATTGAAGCTCTTTCCACATTCCACACACTGATAGGGTTTCTCCCCTGTATGAATTCTTTGATGGGAAGTGAGAGAGGAGCTACATGTGAAGGTCTTTCCACATTCCACACACTGATAGGGTTTTTCCCCTGTATGAATTCTCTGATGCTTAGTGAGATTGGAACTATTCCTGAAGTTCTTTCCACATTCCGCGCACTGATAGGGTTTCTCCCCTGTATGAATTCTTTGATGGAAAGTGAGAGAGGAGCTCTGACTGAAGCTCTTTCCACATTCCACACACTGATAGGGTTTCTCCCCTGTATGAATTCTTTGATGGAAAGTGAGAGAGGAGCTCTGACTGAAGCTCTTTCCACATTCCACACACTGATAGGGTTTCTCCCCTGCATGAATTCTTTTATGGGAAATGAGAGAGGAACTATCTGTGAAGCACTTTCCACATTCCACACACTGATAGGGTTTCTCCCCTGTATGAATTCTTTGATGGGAAGTGAGATCAGAGCTCTGACTGAAGCTCTTTCCACATTCCAAACACTGATACGGTTTCTCCCCTGTATGGATTCTCTGATGGGAAGTGAGATTGGAACTCTTCCTGAAGTTCTTTCCACATTCCGCGCACTGATAGGGTTTCTCCCCTGTATGAATTGTTTGATGGAAAGTGAGACTGTGGCTGTGAGTGAAGCTCTTTCCACATTCCACACACTGATAGGGTTTTTCCCCTGTATGAATTCTTTGATGGGAAATGAGATTGGAGCTCTGACTGAAGCTCTTTCCACATTCCAAACACTGATACGGTTTCTCCCCTGTATGGATTCTCTGATGCTTAGTGAGATTGGAACTCTTCCTGAAGTTCTTTCCACATTCCGCGCACTGATAGGGTTTCTCCCTGTATGAATTGTTTGATGGAAAGTGAGACTGTGGCTGTGAGTGAAGCTCTTTCCACATTCCACACACTGATAGGGTTTTTCCCCTGTATGAATTCTTTGATGGGAAGTGAGATGGGAGCTCTTCCTGAAGCTTTTTCCACATTCCATGCACTGATAGAGTTTCTTTCCAATGAGATTTTGTTGATGGGAAGTGGAATGGGAGCTCTGACTGCAGCTTTCTCCACACTCCAAATTTTTACGTGGCTTCTCCTCCCTGGGGATTTTATCGTGGTCACCTTTGTTCTCAATTTCCAATTCATCAGAATCTGCAATGGAGACAAAAAGGGATTAGAGCCTCAGGAAGAAATGGAGAAGAAATGAAACGAGTTGGGTGTCTGTTCACTACCTGTGTTGTTTGTCATTTTACCAACATATTTATTATTAGATTCTGAAGACTTGTTGAGTGTTGTTTTGTCTGATATATAGTAGTGGTCAAAATTGTGGAAGGTTGAAGCTGACACTGAAGATGGCCTGGGAAGTTCACACCAGCCCAATCGTGGTAGAAAAAGGAATAATTTGAGGAAGATTGTTCAAAGAAAAAACTGTAAGTTACTGTTTATTGTGGGGGTGTTAGGTTCCCAGGTGTTATAGGGGGCGCTGTTGAATTCTGTGAAAATATATGAGGTTGGTCACATAGAGGTATTTTTTAAATTTCCAGGCAGATATGACGATCCCACAGAGAGCCTTACCAAGAGAGGCCAATATCCCACGATTCTCCTCCATGACGTTCTTATGCAGAGCTCTCTGGTCAGGATCCAGCAACGCCCACTCCTCGTCCGTGAAACAAACAGTGACATCTTCAAAGCACACTGGACCCTAAAAGAAAAAGAGAAATGTCCTCCTCTGAGACAGCAGAAATATGATCTGCTACACAATGCTCTGTTGTTTCCTTCCTGTTAATAATAATAATAATAATGATAAATTTATAATTTATACCCCGCCATCTGGTTGGGTTTCCCCAGCCACTCTGGGCGGCTTCCAAAAAACTCTAAAATACAATAATCTCTTAAACATTAAAAGTGTCCCTAAACAGGGCTGCCTTTAGATGTCTTCTAAAAGTTTGGTAGTTATTTTTCTCTTTGACATCTGGTGGGAGGGCGTTCCACAGGGCGGGTGCCACTACTGAGAAGGCCCTCTGCCTGGTTCCCTGTAACTTGGCTTCTCACAGCGAGGGAACCGCCAGAAGGCCCTCAGCACTGGATCTCAGTGTCTGGGAAGAACGATGGAGGTGGAGACGCTCCTTCAGGTATACTGGACCGAGGCCGTTTAGGGCTTTCAAGGTCAGCAGAAACACTTTGAATTGTGCTCAGAAACGTTCTGGGAGCCAGTGTAGGTCTTTCAAGACCGGTGTTATATGGTCTCGGCGGCCGCTCCCAGTCACCAGTCTAGCTGCCGCATTTTTGATTAGTTGTAGTTTCCGGGTCACCTTCAAAGGTAGCCCCACATAGAGCGCATTGCAGTAGTCCAAGCGAGAGATAACCAGAGCATGCACCACTCTGGAGAGACAGTCTGCGGGCAGGGAGGGTCTCAGCCTGCATACCAGATGGAGCTGATAAACAGCTGCCCTGGACACACAATTGACCTGCGCCTCCATGGACAGCTGTGAGTCCAGAATGACTCCCAGGCTGCGCACTTGGTCCTTCAGGGGCACAGTTACCCCATTCAGGACCAGGGAGTCCCCCACACCACGCCTCCTGTCCCCCCAAAATAGTACTTCTGTCTTGTCAGGATTCAACCTCAATCTGTTAGCCGCCATCCATCCTCCAACCGCCTCTAGACACTCACACAGAAATTTCACCGCCTTCACTGGTTCCGATTTGAAAGAGGTAGAGCTGGGTATCATCTGCATACTGATGAACACCCAGCCCAAACCCCCTGATGATCTCTCCCAGCCGCTGCATGTAGATGTTGAAAAGCATGGGGGAGAGGACGGAACCCTGAGGCACCCCACAAGTGGGAGCCCAGGGGTCTGAACACTCATCCCCCACCACCACTTTTTGGACACAGCCCAGGAGGAAGGAGCGGAACCACTGTATGACAGTGCCCCCAGCTCCCAGCCCCTCAAGACGGTCCAGAAGGATGTTATGGTCGATGGTATCAAACGCCGCTGAGAGATCCAGCAGAACTAGGAAACAGCTCTCACCTTTGTCCCTAGCCCACCGGAGATCATCGAACCAGTGCGACCAAGGCAGTTTCAGTCCCATGATGAGGCCTGAATCCCGACTGGAAGGGATCCAAATGGTGCACTTCTTCCAGGCGTGCCTGGAGTTGTTCAGCAACCACTTGCTCAATCACCTTGCCCAAGAATGGAAGATTTGAGACTGGGCGATAGTTAGCAATATTAGCCATATTGCAATAGAGGCGGCGAAGAAAGTCTTCTTTGCCGTCGCTACCGCCACTTGGTAGGCTCGACATTGAGCTCTAACCCGTGTCCGGTCAGCTTCAGAATGAGTTATCCGTCACCAGCGCTCTAGCCGTCTCAGCGATTGTTTCATTGCCCTCAGATCCGTGGAAAACCACAGGTATGTCCAGGCTCCATGCAATCGAAGAGGGCGCTTCGGAGCCAAACAGTCAATAGCCCTGGTTAACTCCACATTCCAGCGGGTCACCAGGGAATCAGCTGAAAGGCCATCAACATGGGATAAAGCATCCCCTACCATTCTCTGGAAACCATTTGGAGCCATTAAGTGGCGGAGGCGGACCATCTGAATCGGTCCCACCTCCATGCAGAGGGGAAGGGTCGCGGAGAAGTCCAGTTGCACCAGGAAGTGATCCGACCATGGCACTGCAACCCCCCCTCCCCGCCCACAAGGCCTGGGTTGCTGTGCATAAGAGAAACCTGGTGGACAAGCAGCAGCAAGGACAGGCCCATCTGCTTCATCCAACCAAGTCTCTGTTACACATGCCAGGTCAAGTCCGCCATCCATGATCAAGTCATGGATGGCAGTGGTTTTATGAATCATTGACCTGGCATTGCACAGCAGCACCTTCAGGTCATGTGGGTATCCCTTGCTGATTCTAGTATCCGTCCAGTCAGGACCAGACCTGGAGGCAGGGATAGTCCTCCAACAACGACTAAACCTGCCTCCTCTGTAATGACATGGTCTGGTCTTAGCGTACCTCCTCCTCCTACCCGTGATCACTGAGATCGGTTGTCCCAGTGCATCCCCCCCATGGAACATGCCCCAGCTATTTTGTGGGCTGGGGCCCACTCGCCGGCAGCCCTGACCACCCCCCTTAAGAACAAAATAAAACCCTTAAAAAAAAGAAAGAACCCACAATAAAACAATACAAACAAAAAACTGTAAAAATTACAAACACATTAAAATCAAACAAATTCCCGAACCCAACCAAACATCCATCCCACCCCCCACAAAAAAAGTAATCAAAAGGGAAAAAAGAAAATTTTAAAAAACATTTTAAAAAGAACATTGCGCCGCTCCGAGTCCTCCTGGCCAGCAGGAGCAGCAGCAGCAACAACTGTCCTTATGAGGCTTCAGGCCCCGCCCTGGGCCAGGTGGTGAGTGGCAGGAGCGGGGCCCTCAGGCACTCACGCAGGGAGTTGTTTCAACAGGATTGCTTTGCTGCACATTTTATTTATGGATGCTTATTTTATTCTAAGTTTAAATTATGGGTATTCGTTTTTGTGCAAATAGGTTGTACTCCACCTTGTCTTATTCAAGTCATTCTGCCTAGGCAAGCATTCCAGTTTCCCCAATGGAAGGATCCACTTTCTCCTCTCCTCCTGAGCTGTTCCCTCCTAAGAACTAGAGCCAGATTCCAGGGGTTCATGGGGGCATGAAGGAAGGAGGAATTGGAGGCAGGCCCCATTTTGCAGCCGATGGGGCTGGTTAGGTGAATCCAGGCCGCTATTTGTTCTCATTTGTACTCTGCTTAAGATACCTATTTTTGCATTCAGTTATCAATCTAGAAATAAAATAAGCCTCTTTTGGATGGGCATCTGTCTTGGATGATCTAGCAGAGATTCCTGCACTGCAGGGGGTCTCCTGGGTCTGAGAGACAAGTAGGGAGGGTGGCATCTGGCAAAAGGAGAGGGAGCCACCGGTGGCTCTTCCTTCTCCTGACTCACCTCAGCCTCTCAACCTTCCTCTCCCACTCGCCTCCTTCCTCTTCTGCCTTTGATTCTGCACTGCATTCTGCCACAGAGTCTCTCAGCTCACTAAGCCCTGTAACCCCTTCAGCTTCTGACACCTCCTCTTCCCAGGCTTCTCTCTCTTTCCCCTCTGACCGCCCATCCTTCTTCCACCTCCACTTCTTGGGCTCTCAGCCATCTTCCCTTCCTGGTTCCCCAGCTGCTTCCTCCCACCACTTCTCTGTGCCCAACCAGTCCATGACATTGCTCCATCCCTCGGTCTCTGTCGCCACAAGGCAGCTTCCCCTGACCTGATCTGGTTCCACAGCCGCTGCTTCCCTTCTGCCCCCATGAAAAGGCGGATCAGGAGGTCTTGCCGGCATCATTCCGTCACCTGCAAGAGAAAAAACGTAAACAGGACGTAAACAGAGTGCCTGCTTCTCTCACAGGTGAAACAGGGCATCTCTAACTACAGATGGGCCTTTGAGAAGGACTTACCTACTGAGAGTATTTGGACGTTTGTGCCCATTTCATATGTTTGTTGTGAAAAAATACATCTCCCCTCTTCTGGACCCTTGTTCCCAACTGTCTCCACCAAAACAAGATGAAAAGAACCCTCAGATGAGTTGGAAAACCAACGGAATGAGACCAGACAGAGAAAAACCACCTTCCTCCTTACCCAGTGGCCTCTCTCTGGTGTCCAACGGAGGCCTCTCTGCCTCACAGGAATCCAGGTCCATTTCTGCAAAGAGATCCTTTCCCTGAGAAAGAAACAAGGATTCAAAACAGAGAATGGTGAGAAATACTAGAAAGAGAATAACAAAGACTTCAAGGGTGCGAGATCTCATTCCATGGATGCTTTCCCACAAAATGGGCCATCAGCAGACCATTATGGGATGTTCTCTGTCCTGTTTGGAGCCCCTTGGGAGTATCCAGAGGAAAGTCTCTCTCACCTGCTTTCTCTCTGCCTGCTTCCTCTCCTCTGCCTGACTCAGGAGGAAACCTTCGGCCAGGGCCACCGCCTGCGAACTGGTCTCCGCTCCACAGTCCCTCACCCAGCTCTCCATCTCCGGGGGAAGGACAGCCAGGAACTGCTCCAAGATCACCAGGTCCAGCATCTCAGCTTTCGTGTGCCTTTCTGGTTTCAGCCACTGATGGTCAAGCTGGTAAAGTCGGCTGCAAACCTCTCGGGGTCCTTTGGCCTCCTGGCAGCAGAACTGCCTCAACTGCTGGCTCTGCACCTCTGAGCGGAGGGTGTCCACCTCACCATGGATCTTCTGCACAGAGTTTTCCCAGAATCCCCCACTGCTCCCAGTTTGGCTGGCATGGCCTCTTCCTGCTTCGGGGCCAGCCGAGTCTTGCTCATCCATCTGTGCTCTCAGGAAGCCTCTGAGAGATCGGAAGGAACCCTTTGGTCTTCTGCCAAGTTCTGCCCATCTAAATGAGAAGCTCTAGCAAATCCTACAAAGCAAATACATTGTTCTGTTACAGAATTTGTAGGATGGGGGGGGGGGAATGGTTCCCTGAGCAAGCATGACTGCACCACATCCCAGACCATGAGCTATCTTTTTGAAAAGGAGGAGGAAGAGGAGAAGAAATAAGTCTCTAGCCTTCTAGCAATGCAAAATGTGGAGGCAACTGAAGGGATTTCTGAGAGATTAATCAACCTGGTTTCTCCATCCTTCCAGTCAATTCATGACATTGGAACCTACTGACAAACGAGTTGTTTCTATCTTGTGAAAAATGGATGCTTGGCTCTAGTGGGGGTCCTCAGGAGTTGCCCCCCACACCTACACCCACTCCGCTGCTTCCGTCTCCTTTTCTTGCACTTGGACTCTCTGCCACTCTCAGAATAGACTTCTGGGGCGGGGTCCCTTTTTCTTTGCTCTGAGGGCCAGGTATGTATCTGGCCAACCCCCTGAGGGCCAAGTGGGCAGGGCCAAAGACATCTCCCTTGAAATTTAGGAGGGTAATTTTTATTCTTATATTCTTCTTATTATTATTATTATTAACACACACACAGCCACTGATGCCAAGGTCCCTGGAGGCTCGGTGAGTAGGAGCGCCCGTTTCCAGGTGGTTTTCCAGCAATAATCCCTTTGGGACAGAAAGGATGTGGTCCTGGGATGCCATGCTCTGGGTGCGAGGGGATTGCTGCAGTGGCCTCCGTGGGGAGCTGCCCTGGGAGACACTGGGAAACTGGTCTGCAATGCAGCAGCCAGACTCTGGGCTGGGATCCCTCTCTTTATTCCTGGCCTTTCTCTCCCACCTTTTTTTTGGGGGGGGGGGCTAGTCCACCTCCTCCTTCAGCTTTGGAAAACCATTTGCACATGTTTCCTCTGTTGTGCAATGAGGCTGAGCGACGTCACACAGAGTTAAAGTCCCAGGGACTCCTTTGTTTAAAGAAGGGAGATTTTTTCTGAAAGGGGGGGGCGGAGGGCCAAATGAGTTTGGGATCCTCTGATCTGCAGGAAGGAGAGCGTGGCAGACCTGGCCCCTCCCTGGCAGGACCCTCTCCTCCCTGACTTGGGGTCCCCCCCCTGCAGGAGCAGATCAGGCCCCCCAGGCCCCCTCCCCTGCTGCAGCCCTGGGACCCCCACCAGATCCCAGAGAGAGAGGAGACTCACCAGATCCCAGGAGGGGACAGCGAGGCAGCCCTTGCAGGAGAGACACCAAAGCAGGAAAGGACTGGGAGGGAGGGGCCTTGGCTCTGGAGGACCTGGCCCCCCCTTGCTTCCTGGCCTCTCTAGGAAGGCAGCTCACTTCCCTTTAACCCTTGCCAAGCCGAGTCCCTCCAGCTCAGCACTCTCTCCCTTGGCAGAACCTCAGATTCTTAATTTTTTTTATGCATTTAGGGGGCCAGCTGCCCCCCCCCCCGGCTACGCCAATGCCCAGATATCCTTTTGGGGGTGAGGCTCTTGGCTGGACTCTGAGCATCTCCCTCCCTTGGCCAGAAACCAGAGGAAGAGCTTGCAGGGAAAAGGGCTTTGCAGGAGGCAAGGAAGCTCCTCCTAGAATTCAGGAGTGGAGAGATAGGAGGGGATCCCAGGGTCATCTAGTCCAACCCGAAGCAAGAGGGGGCCGGGTCTAGTTCCCTAAACAGGCAGCCCTGTTTAGGGAAGCTTTTAATGTTTAATAGGTTATTGTATTTTAGTGTTTGATTGGAAGCCGCCCAGAGTGGCTGGGGAAGCCCAGCCAGATGGGCGGGGTATAAATAAATTATTATTATTATTATTATTATTATTATTACAACCCCCAGCAATGCAGGAATCTCAGCTAAAGCGTCTATGGCAGATGGCCGTCAGATCTGTGCTTAGAAACCTCCAAGGAAGGAGAGTCCACCACCTCCCAAGGGAGACCTTTCCCTGCCCAACTGCTCTTAGATGTCCCTCAAGGCAGCGGATCCTGAGTTCTAGCCCTGCTGAAACCATTGCACTGGCTGCCAAGGAGGAACCATGCGAGGTTCAAAAGAAATAAATCCCATTCTCATCATAAATGAGTAATACTTTCCTATGCATGCTTTTTATACTAATATACAAAAGTATGCCATTTCCCTTTCCAGAAATGGATGATTGTTGTTATTATGTTTAGGGAAGCTTTTAATATTTGTTGGACTATTGTATTTTAATATTTTGTTGGAAGCCGCCCAGAGTGGCTGAGGAAACCCAACCAGATGGGCAGAGTATAAATATATTATTATTATTATTATTTATTCAATTGATCAGGTGAGTTTTCTCCTTTCGAAAGAGGGAGGTGGAATCTCCACGGTTGCTAGTAGCATAACGTTGAAAGTGCAGGGAAATATGGGGAGCCCTGGAGCATCTGCTTGGCATGCAGAATGTCCCAGGGTCAACCCCTGACATCTCCTGCAACGGGCGGACGAAATCCCTGCATGAAACTCTGGGGAGCTGCTGCCAGTCAGTGTAGGCCAGGGGTCCTCTATCTATGTTCCCTGGGCCAAATCCAGCCCGCCAGGGTCGTTAATCTGGCCTGCACGGCCCCTTCAGTACCCGCAAGGCCAGGGGTTTTGCCCGGGGACAGGGCAGTGTTGTCGTTTGGCTTGAAGAGCGAAGTTCAGGTTAGTGGAGGAAGGCAGACTTCGGTCGATTCGGTTTCATTACGTAGACGTTTACTTTAAAAGTGGTAGAAGGAAGTATAGTGCTATTTCTGTAAGTGGCACAGGGGTCTTTTCACTCATGTGGTTTACATGCTCTGAGAGATGGGATCTATTTTGTTATTTTAATTTTAAAAGGGTGGAGTGGAACCGGAGATTGACCATCTTCTTAGCCTGGGGCATTGGTCTGCAACCTTTTTCAGCCATGAGGCGGTCCACCGTCCCTCAGACCATGTGGGGGGCCAGACTATATTGGGGGGGGGTGAACAAATTCCTATGCCCCACAAATAACCCAGGGAGGCATTTTAAATAAAAGTACACATTCTATTCATGTAAAAACACACTGATTCCCGAATTGTCCGCAGGCCGGATTGAGAAGCTTGCCTACCCCTGGCCTGGGGAGCCACATTCTGGTTGAAGGAGGCCAGGATTGGCCCCCAAGGCTTGGGATGTCCCTCCTCCCCTGCAGTAGGACTTGGAATCCAGGAGAAAACTCTTGGAATAGCCTTGCCAGGTGCTCAGGGACAGACTCACCTGTCCCCATGTCCTTCTCTTTGCAGATGTGCAGCAGTTGCACATCCCTCCCCCAGAGGTGAGCATTGGAGAGAACCAGAGCAGGTACTCAGACCTGCCCTCCTTGCCCCCCACTCTGCACTCCCTTCGTGAGGAACTGACAGCCTGACTTTTGCCTTTCAGCTGCTGGAGGAAGATCAGCTGTACCTGCCGGAGGTGATCCAGAACTGCCAGGCAGCTCAGCTCAGGGGGCTCTGAACCCTGAAGTGCTCCAAGCAGGAGGCGGCCAAAGCCATCCTGGTGAGTAGTGGGTGGTGTGGGAGACCCCCATGGGGAAGTGGGGGAGGGAGGGGCTTTGAAGAAGGGGAAGTATCTGGGAATTTGGATGATGGCAAAGAATATTAATCTTTTTAATGACAATTACCAACCAGTCTGGAAGGAGATTAAAAGAGAATTAGAAATATGGGACATATTAAAGCTATCAATGACGGGAAGAATGTCTGCGATCAAAATGAATCTACTACCGAAAATGTTGTTTTTGTTCCAGACAATTCCGATAATAAGAGGTTTAAGACAATTCAAAGAGTGGCAAAAAACTCTCTCGTGTTTTACATGGCAAGGGAATAGACCAAGAATTAAATTTAAAATATTGACAGATAAGAAGGAAAGAGGGGGGGTTCGCAGTACCTGTTCTGAAACTCTATTATGAAGCGGCATGTTTATGTTGGACAAAGGACTGGATAACTCAGGAGAACCTAGACTTGTTAGATTTGGAGGGGTTCAACAATAGATTTGGATGGCACTCTTATCTTTGGTGTGGTAAGGCAAAAGTGCATAAGGGGTTTACAAATCATGTGATAAGAGGTGCCTTATTTGAAGTCTGGGAAAGAAACAAGAATTTGTTGGAAAGGAAAACACCGTGGTGGCTGTCACCAATTGATATATTAACAGTTAAAAAACTGAACATACTAGGGAGAGGGACCACATATGAGGAAATTTTGATGAAGGCCGAAAAAGGTTGGAAATTAAAGCCCTATGAGTGTACCGCTGAAAAATTGACAGGATGGTTGCAATACCATCAAGTCAATGATGTCTTTAAAGAGGAGAAAAAAAAATAGGATTTGAGGATAAAAAATCGAAATTTCAAATAGATATTTTAGAGAGTAAATCCAAGCTATTATCAAAAATGTACAATCTCTTACTAGAATGGAACACAAAAGATGAATTTATAAAAGAGGCTATGATAAAATGGGCCATTGATTTAGGACATAACATAGAATATGATGTATGGGCCAAACTCTGGAATGAGAGCATAAAATTAACTGCTTGTTCTGCCTTAAAAGAAAATGTTATGAAGATGGTTTATCGTTGGTATCTCACTCCCACCAAATTGGCAAAAATGTATAGAACAAGTAGTAAAACCTGCTGGAAGTGCAAGGAAAAAGACAGCGACTTCTATCATATGTGGTGGTCTTGCAATAAAATAAAAGAGTTTTGGGATGCGGTTTACAACGAGTTAAAAAGATGTTTAAGTACAGTTTTCCCAAAAAGCCGGAAGAATTTTTGCTAGGTTTGGTGGGAGAAGGGATTAAAAAGATAGATCAAAGATTATATTTATATGCAACAACTGCAGCCAGAGTTCTGATAGCTCTAAAGTGGAAAGCAACAGGAGATGCCGACGATAAGAGAATGGCAGATAAAGTTGGTTGAGTATGCTGAGATGGCTAAATTGACACACAGAATTCGCAATCAGGAGGAGACAAAGTACCAAAAAGAATGGAGTAAATTTATGGTTTATATAAGTGAGAATTGTACAAATATGAAAACGTTGGCAGGATTGAAATAAATCTCATGTCATGGTATAATTTATAATTAAAGAATCTGTAAACTATAGAATGGAATAGGAAAACTGCTGGAAGGGAAGGACGGAAGCTAATGGATCTATGAAACACAAAGTAGGATACATGTAATAAGATGTGATGTTTTGGTGGTGGGTGGTGGGGGTTGGTTGGTGATTGTAAATTTCAATAAAAATCATTAATAAAAAAAAGAAGAAGGGGTTGTCTGTCTGCCGGAGAGGAGGACTCTACTGGCCTAGGTTCACGTATCCTGTTTGAAAGGGGAATCATCTTAGGGACTTCCTGTGAACATCTGGGTCAGGAATGCTGTTCCTGGAATGGACAAACACACAAGACGTAACCGGCTGTGCATTCACATAAACAATACTCCTCTATATATTCTTATCACAATATCAAATGTTTATCTTGCACATAAACAACACATAAAGTGCAATAATATAGACGGAAGTCCCAATAAATCAGTTCGTTCATAAAGACCAAATGTCTGCTAAGTCCAAATTGGGGACTACTACAGTTTCACAGTGATGACAAGGTGTTATGGCCTGGGATTCAGACGTGGATGCTGAACCTGAGGGATTCCAGCCTGCAGAGGATTCCCCACCTCCAGAACCAGCTGAGCCGGGGCTGGGGCATGAGCCTGAAGGGTCCTCACCTGTGCTGGATCCTCAGGTGCAGGCACCAGCTGAGTCTGCTCTGGCTCCTGAGGTGATGGAGGACCCATTGCCTGCAGGTGCTCCACTCTCAGCCCCGTCAGAGAAAGCTGAGGTTGCCTCTGGGTCCGGTAACCCTCCAGCCTCTCCTGAGCTGCAGAGGCTCAGGGTTAGAGAGGTGAGTCACCAGAGGATCGGGGCCGCCCTATGCCTCAGAGCAGAAAAAAGCCGGCCAGCCCCAGTCCCAAGTTGCGGGAGCAACATTGTTGGTTGCTAGTTCCTGCCTGAGCTCCTGACCCGCCCTGGCTCCCTGCTTGCAAGCCTGTTCCTGACTTCACCCAACTCCCTGCCCTGCACCCAGCTTCAGCTACTACGGACTGCCTCCACGTTGCACCTTTGACCACGGACAGGACTTGGACCTAGCCTCTCGGGTAAATTCAATGGGTCCCCGGCCAGCTTTCCCATGTTTCTTGCCCAGACCAAGCTGTATATTCAGGGGCGAGCCCGGAATTTCCCCGATGACCGCACCAAGGTGCACTTCCTGATCAGCTTGCTGAAGGACCGGGCAGCCAAGTG